CTCTCTCTCTCTCTCTCTCTCTCTCTCTATCTCTCTCTCTCTCTCTCTCTCTCTCTCTATCTCTCTATCTCTCTCTCGCTATCTCTCTACATCATTCTCTCTCTCCATCTCCGCAGGGGAAGCAGAGCTGTCCGTCAGCCCCGAGAACTCGCACGACTCAAACCACAACGTCGATCCGTCGGTCGGCAACCACGCTGACGCGAGTTCCGCGCTGCGGGCGATGGCGACCGACGCGCGCCCGATGAAGTTCATCTCGTTGCTTACCAACAGCGTCGTGACGAGCAGCGCCAGCAGCTCCCCGGAGAAGCTCGGCAACGGCAACGGCAGCGGCTCGGCCGACAGCACGAGTCCGCAGCCGAAGGGTTGCTACGGCGACGAGCACGACCGTCAGAGCAGCGGCAGCGGCGGCTCGGCGACGGACGTGTTGTCTAGCATCTTCGGCGACGCGTCTCGCACGCGCAGCCTCCTGACGCAGAGCTACGCCGAGCAGATGGGCGCGTTCACCCTCGGCGGGATCGTGCCGGGGTCGCGCGGCGCCAACTACCGGCCGTACGAATCGCCGAGCCTCCGGAGCCTCCTGCGCACGGGCCGCGTGAGCCTCGACGCGGCGCCCCCTGGCGACGACGTCGCGCCGAGCGTCGGCGCCGACGACGCGGCGGCGGCGGTCGTCGTCAAGCAGGAGCCGGTGGATCCCGCGGAGCAGGCGAGTCCGCGCGACGACGACGACGAGGATGCTGCGAGAGACGTCGATATGGTCGCCGGCGGCAACAACGGGAAGAGCTCGCCGCGCTCGGCCGAGAAGTCCGACTCGCCGCGCAGCGAGCCGTCGCCGCCGGCGCAGCGCGTGAGCGAGAACAAGCGCAAGGGCATCCCGCAGCATTACATTCGCAACGGGCACGACTCGAACGAAGAGGGCGCCGCCGCGGCGGGCGGCGGCGACGACGGCGGGCAGTTCTCGAGCATCCGCAGCGCGTTGATAAGCCGCGGCGTGGCGCTGCAGCAGGCGCGCGCGCCGATGGTGTCGCTGCTGAAGCAGCGGCAGGGCCGCACCGTGTCCTCGTACCTCGGCTCCGGCTCCCTCCTCTCCACCGCACTCAGCGCTCCGACATCGAGTTCGCTCCAAACTTTCGCGCGCGGCGGCGCCGGCGGCGGAGCCAGGATCGCGGCAACGTCGCCCGCTGTCGACGCGGAGATGGAGTCGGCGCGCGGCGGCGGCGCGCACAAGATGGCCGACGCGTCGATGAGCTGCCCGTTCTGCGGCATCGTCTACTTCGACCAGACGCTGTACTTTCTGCATAAGGCGCTGCACAGTGATAGCAACCCGTGGAAGTGCAACGTATGCGGGCTGCAGTGTCAGAACAAGTACGACTTCAACTCGCACGTTTTGAGCATCGCGCACAATTGACGAATCGTCCGCATCGTAGTCCCGGCGGTTGTGTCACAGAGATTTTTTTGTATCATATATATCTATATATCTTTTTGTTTTCCCCCTTCTTCTCCGTTTTTCGCATATAGTGTCGTATCTTGTGATATACAGTTGTACGTCGAGTATAGATTGTTTATTTTGAGTGGAACATTCTAAATGTTATAAAAGATTATTTATTTGTAAGCGGAGCCGCTTTGCCGACGTGCAAGCGCTATTGCCGTTATATCTGTGAATTGTTTTAAGTTAATGCATTTATATGCACAAAATCAGAAAAGGATGACGAATGTGTTGCTATGGTCATTAATATATAAATTAACACGTTTGTAAGTTAGATATACGAAACTCTACTAAACCAGGGTGACCGCATCTACAACCGATAGTGAAGTCCGATCATCTCGCTATGGTATTGTAGCGTAGCGTAGCGGGAGCTGTAATACTGATAGCTTTTCATGTTGTGTAGTAAGGAAAAGTGCCTGTGCTGATGATAATAGTGCCTGCTTCCAGCTATTGTTACGTCGAACCTACTATTCAGTTTGCTCATGAGTACTTGCGTTCTTATCCAATTAAGCTAGCTAACATCAGCGTGAATTATTTTGACAGATTTCATTATAATTTACACCAGCTAATGTGTTGATCGAACTGAGTGTTAATGGTACGTGGCTCCATCTGTCGGTTGTTTTCTACAAAATGTTACATCCGTCGTCGGTTAAGTACGGCACACTCATGCTGTGCTAATAGATAATGAAGAAGAAGATAGACCTAATTAACTGAATGAGAGGATCCGTTTAGCAACTATTTAGCTCGAGTATTAGTGTCGTATAAAATTATTTTTACTCCAGTTTCGTATTTCAGTGACTAGAAGAACAATGCTGCCAATGTACATTTCTGTGCTGTCACTGCTGAAATATTGTTGCATGCAAGTGGGACAATTCTTCGTAGCAAAGCCGTCATTTTAGTATGCTATCAATCAAATAATTAATTACGTTACTATGAATTCATACGCTGCCCGCTACACTGATAGCTAGCTAGGTAAGCTGGTCACTCTGTGTGATATCCAAACGCCGGTAGAGAGTGACCTCATCACACATCCCGAGCTGACTTCAAACGGGCGCCGGCGCGACATAACAGTATGTTAGACGCCTCTATTTCGCTTACCGAAGATGTTGTATAACAGCGCGCGTAGAGATACCGTGAGACGTCACAGACTCCACCGTGCCGGGTGACGTCATGGCGCCGAATCAAGCGTAGGGTTTCTTGCATGGGGGTGGGGGTGGAACACAGTTCAACAATAGAAGCTGTAGGTATTTAATTAGCGGACGTGCTCTAGGTCATCCTGACCTCTCGTGACGTCACCATCGGGTATGCCAAATATCAAATACGGATTTGCCGGCGTGTGTGATTCGTGGCGCCACCTGGTGTTGCATTCTCTCGGGGGGGGGGGCCGAGTGTTGTGTCTGTTAGCAAGCAGTAGGCGGAGCGGTAGCGCTATGAGTAAAGCCACCCCCGCCCCTAAACGCAAGTTCGTGTACAAAATATGATAATTTATTGCTATTTAACGTGTTGGCGTTCGAATGAAGTATAGTGTCAGTGCGTGTCCATGTTTGGTATTAGTCTTACCGTGATTGTTCCTCTGAGTCTGTCCGCCATACTTGCCAGTTGATCTGACGTCAACACCGCCTTCGCCTGTTTCGCAGGGAAGGGGAACTTACTGGCGCAGGCAGAGAAGTACATTGAGACTACGTAGTTATACCGTACTAACACATTTTTTTCGTATACATACATATACGCCTCGAAGATGTTCAGCGTTGAAATCTTCGCGGTTCATCATAAGAACGCACGAGCCAATGCAGTGCGCTAACACTCCGTATACACCGGGACCAAATATACGCCACATTCCGTGCTATTCTGATCCGAGAGCTATGATAATACGAAGAAAAACAAGAAGACAGAAGAAAGTTAGGTAGAGTAAAGAGGTCTGAGGGAGGCTGCATTGTCTGTGCACAAGTAGTCAATGCAGTCCCGACCCATCCCCACAGCTATATCTAAAGAAAAGTGTTTACTCTGCTCGCCTGACCTGAGCAGGAGGCAGGTAGGTGTAAGTGCGGCAGCGATGGCAGCTAGCTAGCTCCTCCCCCTCTCCCCCTCCCCCCTCTCCTCCTCTCCACCCAGTGCGTAAGCTTTCCAGGCGTGATACGCACGAGCGCGCATGACCGATGCACACACAGCAGCCGTCGTCGCCGCGGTGTCCCTGGTCAATAACCTCAGGAACAGAATAAGCAGGCAAGCAGGCGCAGCCGTCGTGATGGGAAATGAACCTTTCAGTTAAACCTGCCTTACCAGTTCTCGTACTTCCCAGTGGGTTCGGTTCGGTTCGTGGCAGGGATGCGCGGTGCCTGTGTGCGTGTGTACGGGGTCGTCTGTGCTGTGTTGTCACGCGTAGCAGTGGTTAGTTAGGCCAGCGGAAACGCGAGGCAGTGAAGGTTTGCGATATGGTTCGTGTGAAGTTGCTGCGCGGAAGATCCAGAGGTCAGTCGTTGGATCGTCGCCGGACGGCGGACTCTGCTGGACATCGGCCACGTCGTCGTGTAGGTGGTATACACACGCGTTCGTAGAGAGTTTAGACTAGGCAGCTGTTGATGGTTAATTACCCCCCCCCCCTAACTCCGCCCACTCGTGGTCGGGTTCAGAATGGATGCTGCTACCAGTTCTCGTGATAGTGATTCATTCGAATTCGACGCAGTTAGAAGATTTTAGAGGAAGGTTTTAGCTGGGAGAAAACTGAATCCGCAGGTAAAGAAGACGTGTTAGTACGCGTGTGCGTGCGTGCGTGCGTGTACGCATGCGTGTGTATACATGCGCGCGTAGTCTTGCGTGTGTGCGTGTGTGGTCTCGTGAGTGCTTGTTTGTACGTGCGTGCGAGCGTGTGTGATTTTCTGATTCATGCCGTGAAAGTCCGGAAGTTGGAATGGTTTGGGAGCGTCTGGGCACGCAGAACCAAGATTGTATACGATTATCAGCGCTGATGCGCTGATAAAGAAAGTGGAGTGACTATATGTATATATGTGTTTGTGTGTGTGTGTGTGTGGATACTGTCCTGCTACGCACGTGCATTTCGCATGTAAATAATGAGCGCATGCTGAACTCTGTACTCGAAATGTGATCGTATATTTTAGTATACAGCTTCGTGGCATATGCGGCCTGTCTGCTGCCACCACAGCGGTGCATGCAGTGAGTTTGATGTTATACTGAGGAGGTGCCGCTCGCTGTGTTGCCGAAAGTGTTGGTTTCAAACCACTCCTTACTAGTAGAATTCCACTAGTACTAGTACTAGTGTAGTATACTAGTATACTGTCAGACGAAAGTTCTGCGCGTGGTAAGTGGAGTAAATCTACCGACGCGTGCAAACCGGAATACGATTTTACTCGCGCATGCGCAGATGCTCGACAGGAGCCAGCCAGCCAATCACCGTCGGCGGCCGTGTCGTCTGCCTGCGCGTATCACTGGGGTTACGATCGCGGACGACCGCGCCTTGAAATTTTATTTTTGTATATTTTAATATCGCGGTCTCGTCCACGCACTATGGGAGGAGCTATGGGAAACGCCCCCGGCGTTCTCTCTCTCTGCCTCTCTCTCCGTCTCGTGCGTGGCTACCGTATACAGTGCTGCGTATACGCGCATCGACACCGTGATCGCGTGTAGCGTGTATGCGTAGCGGCTAGCGTACCGCTGCGGGTGTACGGACGTTGACAGGGAACAGTGAATGTGATTAACAGAACAACAGCCGAGCGTTGTTGTTGTTGTTGTTGTTGTTCCGTCGTTGCTAAGGACGCGGTGGTGGCGTTCGTGAGCGGCGGCGTCTCTGCATGTCTGCCGTGTGGACGGCCAGCGCGTAAAATATATTTGTCAATTGCTTGTTGTGTACAGGGAATAAACTGGAATTGTTGGTTAAGGAAGGGCTAGCGTTCGATGCGAATCGATTTGACGTGTGTCTCCGGTTCACCTCTTTGAACGAAACGTGTACTCCGAGTGGTTCCTTGTACACGGAGAATAAAACTACGAATGCTTACGATAATATAGTAAAGGGCCGGAAAAGCCGGGAGATTCTCCTGCGTGAAAAATGTTTTCTCTGCATTTATCCTATAAACAAAGTAACTGCTGCGAAATATCTCTCTACCGCCATCTCACGTTGCGAAATTTGTGATCTTATCGTGAGTGTGTGCATACACACATGTTACATTCACAGACTCTTTGTTTGCACAGATATTTACGGTTGTTACAACGTGTGCAGAGATTAGGGAAAGGAAACATTAGCTTTCAGGACACGGGATTGAACCATTATAATGATCTGGGAACCGGGAAATACCGACTATATACCATATATATATATACCATATATAATAATATAAAATAATAAAAACTTTGCGTGACTCGGGAATAAAAGTAAACCGGGACGCAGAAAAGCCGAAATTTCGAATTTCACAATGAAAAAACTGCAAAGTGACGTATTTTTTTTATCTGGAAAACCTAGAATAGACCCCAGCCACCCGGTCCCCCCATATTACTCGATATATATTAGATGTTACTGCCCGGGATCTAGCTCTCCCTCCAGGAACGCGCGCTATTAAGGGTAAGGCAGTTTGCTTAGTCAACCGAGACTTGTGACACACTGATCACAACCATCGTTGGGAATCGAACAGTAAATACTCGCTATAGCAACATCTGCTAGTTTCACGGGACATCGGGGCAGAGTGCGCTCGCACACGCGCATAAATATCACCGCGTCCGACAAAAATAAAGAGACCAGAGTAAAGAGAGACGACACTCACTCGCAGATATGTCGCCTCTCGTTTTACCGCTGCTCGTCGCCTTGGTAACGGCCGCGGGATGTGTGCAGGCGGCAGCATCCGCGCGTGATAGAGAGACGTGTCCGACCGCATCTATTCTCGGAAGCTGCGAGTGCCGTGACACTCCCGTCGGCGGCGACATCAAATGCGACGCAGCGACGATGGCCGACGGCGCGCGCGAGCTGCTGGCGACGATCGAGCGACTTCGCGACACGCGCATCATGCGGTTGTACATGACCGGTTACCGGGACCTCGAGGAGATACCGCCACGGCTGTTCGACGGCATGCGTATCATGTATCTGTTCTTCGAGGATTGCTCGGAGCCGCTGATGCACGCCGACTCGTTCGCCGGCGTGCGGCGGCTGGTCGAGATCAGGATGCACGGCATGCTTACGTCGATTCCCAGCTTCATCTTCGCTTCCATCCCTGGAATACGTAAGCATATTGCGCAGTTATGAACATGCGGCGCCATCTAGCGGCGCTATACGCACGTATCGCCTCCTTTCTCCCCACCGCCGCGCGTCAAGCATAAATGATCTAACTCGATCAGAAGTCGATCTAGCAGTGAATCAATGCAGGAGGGGATGCAGTACTAATTCATTCGTTCATTGAACCCGTCCATAAACCTCATATAGTGTTAATCTTCAAAAAGTCCTGGGACTAAACACGAAGATTGGAGAAAGAAAGTGTATCAAGTGTCGTAATCCACACTTGGCGGATTCGCAGCAGAAAAAAGTTGTAAATGTGCCTATTTACTAAGGGATGAAGGCAGTGAATTCCAATACGGAATCACAGAGCTAAAGAAGCTTAAACTAAAAAGGTTCCTTTAGAAGTTGTACATGCCGAAAACAGTGATCACGCTCAGATGAACGTGTCGCGAACAGCTTCATTAAGCAAGAAGGAATGCCAATTTTCGATGCCTCACTATGAAAATTTTATAGAAAGTTATGAGTTCATTGAAGAAGAAGCGGACACTAAAGGAGGCGCACTTCAAGACGAGCCAAAAACATAACAGCAGCACTATTCATCATAGTTCTGGAAAACACCATCTCGCAGCTTTATGCTGAATGGTGTCCATCTAGAGCATTTCTAGAAGGTCCATATAGGGTCACCAGGCTTGGCGAGCCATATTCTAATATGGGTCAAACCAATACTTTTTAAAAGCAGGACGGAGTTTAAGTCATCAAAGCTAAGATTACGGCCGTAACATCCGAAAGATCGTGGAACGCTTTCTTACAAATATAGTATAATGTGGGCATCCAGCGAAATCGTTGATACTAATAAGACACACCCAATTATATTTGTAAGTAGGGGTAAGATAGATATTTCGCGTCAAGGATATGATCGCATATATATGCGTCGTCTATATATATATCGCATATATATGCGTATATATATATCGTCAAGCATATATATGCGCGGTCAAGCATATAATTATGATCTAACTCGAATTCAGAATCCGATCTAGCAAGATGAATCAAGCAGGAGGGATAGTACTAATGTCATTCGTTCCATTGTACCGTCTCCTCCGTCCTAGACATTTTAACTTCCATCTTTTCCTACATCTTTGATACAAGGAGAGAGCGGTGCAGTCCGGCGTGTCGATTCGGAGTACAGGAAAAATGTTTGATCCATCTCTGTGCAGAAACGCATAAGCCCTAAGAGCTATTCTATTAAAAATAAATCCAGTACTGATAAAGTTGTTACCTAGTTTCACCTAGCACATCTTTCTGTTCGAATTTAAACAGTGTCCGTGGATTTCAATTACAACTACATAGAACGAGTGGAGGAAGATGGCTTCCGTGATCTGGTGAACTTGAAATCAGTTGCTCTGTCCTGAATAAAATTTCCTATATCGCTCCAAACGCTCTGCTACCGCTCACAGGAATAAAGTAACACAATATTGCGGAATTTACTGTTGCCACAAGCCATGGTTCGTTGAAGAAATGTTAACTGTATGGGTGGCCAATCTCAAATGAACAGAACTCGAATTGAACGATATAACATACATAATTTGACCAAATTTCGCACCGTCCACTGTTCCATTTTGTAGTTTATTTTTTTCTCTTTTTCAGTCGCTAGATCTTGACCATAATT